AGCTAAAGGTGACACAGATACTTTATTAAGGTATAGTATTTAAATATATGCCTGAGAAACACATAATATTGCCCCTTTAAGCTGTTTAATGAAATAACTGTGTGCCATATGTGGTTTGTTTACATTCAAATAAAGGATTTTGTAGTTTTGTGGTAGAGCTGATTCGAGTTTTAAGATGTCTTTCGTACCACATTTCTTGAAAAGCTCTTACATTATGTGAAACACAATAAGAAGTGCTGATGCATAACATTGTGAGGAACAAGTCAAATCTAAACTGTTTTAATGAAAGTAAGCACTGAGTGTTGAGTGGTGGAACAGAGACAAACAGGCAGGATGCCGGCACACCTGCAGCTCTCTGTAGAGGCGCTCCAGCTCAGCTGTGGAGGAGGTGTTGTGTTGCTGYGGAGGAAGAGGAGGCTGGAACCTGCTGCTCCTCAGGGCCTGCAGCTGCTCGCTCAGTTCCTCCACCCTGGCTGCAGCCATCAGCAGCTCCCTCTGCTTCTGGTGGAACAGGCTGGTCATCTGCTCGATCTCCTCCACTAACAGAGTCCCACAAACACATCAAACAGTTCTCATTTAAACCAGCTGGAGTCACATTAAATAAGACCAGTCACAAGTTTTCCTTATTTCCTACAGAGACTAACGTCTGTTAACAGTCTTTAATGTTCTGTCATTGACTTTCAGCACTTTCAAGTAATTTCAGTGACTTTTGTTGGGTTTTAAACAAGAGAATTTATTAGTTTTACTACTATCACACTTAAATGTCAACTAATTAAGATGTCAAACATAAAATGACCTAGTTTGCTGTTGCTGAGGCGTTTCTGCTCCACCTGGCCCCTGAGGGCCCGGACACGCCTCAGTTTGGCCTCCTGGTTGTGTGCGTTTTCCTGAAGCTGCCGCAGTCGCTCCTGTTCAGACACCTCCTGATGTTGCTGCTGTGTCTGCAGCTGCAGGTAACGCAGCTGCTGCTCCTGCAACACGCAGCACAGACAGAGGGGCTGATTTAATGGAGGGATGAGGACACYACACTTTTACCTGGCACTCCGTCAAGACTATTTTAGAATGGCAATATGAACCACAAAAYTAAAAAATAAAACAAGTCATAAACAAGGAATYGCATATACTACAGCTTATACTCAGTATAAAGCATGTCTTTAGCTGTTTGTCAAATAAATCAACAAAATCAAGGCAAATATTCCAAATCCTGTAGGCAACAGCTTTAAAGTATTTGTGATCATTAAATGAAAAACTGAATAAGATAGCAGAAAACCAGTTGAATCTCTTCTAACAAGGCTTTATTCTCATCTCTCTCCAATCAGCTCCAGCAGTTTTATATATTTTTATTTTTTGCTTTCTTTCTCTTTTCAGAAGAAGCCAGTTCATGCCAGTAATTATTAATTGCGTTAATGCCTTATGGAC